ACTTTGTACAAGTAGCATGATTGTTTTCTCTATATATTTCTTGGGATTGTAAAATGATAAATCATAAATAATGTGTGATTTTAAATCACACAAGGGTGTTGACCTATCAATAATTTTTGAATAAAGCTTTTTTGTCAGAAAAAAATGTCCACCTGGATGACCTACTCTCACATAAGTGTGGGACCAACGTGGAATCCGTGCGAAATAAAAAATGAAAAAAAGGCTCTCCCGGAAGTGTGTGTCCTGTCAAGGAGGGTGTCTGCAGCTTTGTCCATAAATTTTATTCATATTTCAGAAGTCAACCAAAATAGTGTAAAACCTTATAACTAAAATAAGAGACTAACTTATTAATATGTAAAAATAAAGAATTAAGCCATGTTGTCAGAAAGAATTTGACATCTTAAATGATTTACTCTCACATGTGCATGGGCCTCGCATGGGACTCACGTGAATTTAAAATGCAAAAAAATCCCCCCACTCACCCCCAACTGTGAATGTATGTCACATGGGGTGTCAAATTCTTTCTGGCACCCTAACATGATTGAAAAATAAAATAAACGTATACAAGAAAGATTCGAGTGTCAATGTCAATTTCATCGTTTATGTCGATGGAATCTTCAAGCTTCAACGGCATCAAAAGCACGCGCTATTGTTAACGTGACATTTTATTTCTTAAGGCATTTAAATAAGTTATTACTGTTATCTCAAAGTACGGCAGCCAATTATTTAGTCAAATTTGCAAACTATTTTGGCCTTTTAGGACGGCCGACTAAACAAATCGTGAGATATGGACAAAAATGCCCTGTCCAATATTTGCTAAGAATCATTCTGAAATTTGTTAGAACTTGAAGGTTTCTACGGCGGCCAAATAGATATCAATCTTAACATGCCCCGTCTATCAAGTAACACACTTAACGACAAAAGTTTCTTCGTTTGGTTGCTACAGTAAATCAAATCGACCACAAAATCAGTGTTTCGGCTTAAATGATCACTTACAAAAGAATGAA